TACAGCAGCACTATCATAATCCATCCCACTCCCATTTTGGCTTCAAGCAGGTACAGAGGCATCGTGTCATAAACAGAGCAATAATGCTGCTAGAGAGCAGCTGAAGTGTGAGGGGGCGGCAAAATACAGCACAGGGAGCTGCTAGGAAAAACTTCCCCGCTATAACTGATTGATTTCAACGAGAGGGCTAAGCAGAGCACAAAACCATTACAATCCCATGAAAAAGCTGCAGAGTGAAGGACAATCTGATGTGAAAGTAGACCAACTGTCCAGGATCTGCCACCGAACTTTTGGCACAATGTATATTGTCTCTCAATACAAGTGATGCACATGGATTTAATGTGTGTACATCCTAACTGAACGTTTAGTTGACTTCTAATCAGCGATGAACTCTTAAAAGCAATGGTTTGAAAAGGGGGTTTTCGCAGTGTTGCCACAGAAGAACCATTTCTGGCTCCCCTAAGAACCTTTCAGTGAACAGTTCTTAAAAGAACTGTTTTTTCTTAGTTTGAAGAACATTTTAATAATCTAAGAAAACTTTTCCACTAGAAAGAACCTCTAAGGTTCCGTTGATGTTAAAGGTTCTTCGAGGAACCATCAGTGTTAATAAATAACCTTAATTTTTAAGAGTGTACCATCAAAGATGGTCCATAACCAGAACTGTTTTGAGTTTTGTAACGTGAACTGATTAAATGTCTGTTCTGCTGGTGTTTAGAAGGCTTCCCGCTGAAGAACCTGCAGAGTCCAGTGAACGCGACCCTGCGGCGCTTCCTGCACGGCTCAGACGCTGTGCCCTCCTTCTGGAACTTCAGTCTGCTGGGTGGACAGGGCGGCTGGCAGAGCGACGGCTGCCGGATCCTGCATCAGGACGACAACTTCACCACAATGTCCTGCCATTCACTGAACAGCTACGCTTTACTGATGGTGAGAGAGATGAAAGTGGCTTAAATTTCAGTCTGTTCTTCATAACAAACTATTGTAGGGCTTTCAAAGACCTGCAATGTAGCACACGTTGCTTTTTTATAGTACTTTTGGTTGTTTTTTGTAACGTCTACGGAAAAGCTTGAGGATTCTGCTGGATAATTTGTTAATTAACAAGTTCAAATAAAACTATTTAAAAAATCATTATTAGTTTTTGTTCATTGAAATAAAGCTGAAATAAAATATGAATATTAGATGGAAAAACTTCAACTTGCAGAAATGTTAACAAATTAGAAATGCTGCCATGGCAACTAACATAAAAATTGAAATACTAAAATTTCTGAAACTAAAACTGAAATAAAAAATAAATTAAAGCTAAATAGAAATATAAAAAAAGCCCCGAATAAAAATGAAAAAAGCTCATAGCAAAATAACTTTTTTTTTTTTTGTATTTATAAATATTAGATGAAAAACTTAAAAATTAAAGATTAGAAATGGTGCCTTGGCAATTAACTGAAAAAAAGCTGAAGTGCTAAAATTACTGAAACTAGAACTGAAATAAAAATAAAGCTAAACAGAAATATAAAAAAATGAAAATGTGGAAATAAAATATAAATATTAGGTGAAAATTAAAAATGAGAAATGCTGCCTTGGCAAGTAACTGAAATACAATTTATTAGAATTTACTATTAAAATTAATAAAACTTAATAAAACTGAAACTAAATAAATTAAAGCTAAATTAAAATATTTAAAAAATTAAGAAGAAAAAAAAACTAATGAAATGACAAAAACTCATAGGAAATTTACTATAATTTCAACTATAATTAAAATGAAAACTGAAAACATGAAAATAAAAGCTAATTCCAGGGCTCCAGACTAACATTCGAGAGCACTAAGATCTATAGATGGTGGCATATGGGGATATTAAAAATAAAGATAATTTAATCATAAAATTACTATTGTTGTGCATTAATAAATGCAGTTACTAATAATATTACACGTTTATTTCTTGGTAATGCACATTTGACAGTAAAGCACTGAGCTTGAGCATACAAAAGCATACCAAATTTACTTTTATTAACAACAGTAACGTGTGCAAAATCTAAGTTTTATATAGAAAATTAATTAAAATGCACGCTTATTCTTCTATAGTGTTATATATTTTATAATAGTTATTTTATCATTTCAAAATATAAAGCAAAAAGTGAAAATTAATGACTTGTAAGCCAATAAGTGCTCCTCTGCTGCCATCACCTGGTTATAGTGGTAACTTGATGTCTTTTTTTTTTTTTTTTTTACATGTGGACAGGGCGGCTGGCAGAGCGACGGCTGCCGGATCCTGCATCAGGACGACAACTTCACCACAATGTCCTGCCATTCACTGAACAGCTACGCTTTACTGATGGTGAGAGAGATGAAAGTGGCTTAAATTTCAGTCTGTTCTTCATAACAAACTATTGTAGGGCTTTCAAAGACCTGCAATGTAGCACACGTTGCTTTTTTATAGTACTTTTGGTTGTTTTTTGTAACGTCTACGGAAAAGCTTGAGGATTCTGCTGGATAATTTGTTAATTAACAAGTTCAAATAAAACTATTTAAAAAATCATTATTAGTTTTTGTTCATTGAAATAAAGCTGAAATAAAATATGAATATTAGATGGAAAAACTTCAACTTGCAGAAATGTTAACAAATTAGAAATGCTGCCATGGCAACTAACATAAAAATTGAAATACTAAAATTTCTGAAACTAAAACTGAAATAAAAAATAAATTAAAGCTAAATAGAAATATAAAAAAAGCCCCGAATAAAAATGAAAAAAGCTCATAGCAAAATAACTTTTTTTTTTTTTGTATTTATAAATATTAGATGAAAAACTTAAAAATTAAAGATTAGAAATGGTGCCTTGGCAATTAACTGAAAAAAAGCTGAAGTGCTAAAATTACTGAAACTAGAACTGAAATAAAAATAAAGCTAAACAGAAATATAAAAAAATGAAAATGTGGAAATAAAATATAAATATTAGGTGAAAATTAAAAATGAGAAATGCTGCCTTGGCAAGTAACTGAAATACAATTTATTAGAATTTACTATTAAAATTAATAAAACTTAATAAAACTGAAACTAAATAAATTAAAGCTAAATTAAAATATTAAAAAAATTAAGAAGAAAAAAAAACTAATGAAATGACAAAAACTCATAGGAAATTTACTATAATTTCAACTATAATTAAAATGAAAACTGAAAACATGAAAATAAAAGCTAATTCCAGGGCTCCAGACTAACATTCGAGAGCACTAAGATCTATAGATGGTGGCATATGGGGATATTAAAAATAAAGATAATTTAATCATAAAATTACTATTGTTGTGCATTAATAAATGCAGTTACTAATAATATTACACGTTTATTTCTTGGTAATGCACATTTGACAGTAAAGCACTGAGCTTGAGCATACAAAAGCATACCAAATTTACTTTTATTAACAACAGTAACGTGTGCAAAATCTAAGTTTTATATAGAAAATTAATTAAAATGCACGCTTATTCTTCTATAGTGTTATATATTTTATAATAGTTATTTTATCATTTCAAAATATAAAGCAAAAAGTGAAAATTAATGACTTGTAAGCCAATAAGTGCTCCTCTGCTGCCATCACCTGGTTATAGTGGTAACTTGATGTCTTTTTTTTTTTTTTTTTTACATAAGTGTTTGTTTACCACAAAGTATATTTTGATCATCCCGTTAAAGATAATATTTAAATTGGATAATTTTTAGAGCTTAAAAATGCTGTAAATATTTGTGTGAAATACTTGAAAGTCACTGAAAAGTGCTTGAATTTCTCTCTCAAAAGGTTGTACAAACCCTGAAATCAATAATGTAAAAACATTCGACTCTTTCTGCTACAACACCGTAGTTAACGTTACTACTTCTGGTTTTCTGACATACGTCAGCGCTGTTTGATCTGTTTGTAAAAGAGAATTCTGTGCAGAATTCAAACTCTTCTCACTGGATCTCGCAGCGCTGTGCAGTAAGAGTGTCGTGAGATCAACACTGGTTCCTGAGTAAACCTGTTCTGAGCTCGGACCAGTTTGCTAGCTCGCGCTGTGTTCGATCATTGGTCCGAGCTGATAAACAGTCCGGGCTGCGCAGCTCAAACGAGTAGTTTGATGTCTCTCATATGCAACAGAAATGGCAGCGCTTATGAGATGGGCAACGAAAATTTTGTTAAAAAAATGGTTGCATTCTGGAGCCCTGAATTCAAAATATTAATAAATACTATAATAGTATAAGTAATACTAAAATAACACTGCTGACCAGTAGGGCTGGGCAAAAAAATTGATTTTCCAATTAATCGTTTTTTTAAATGACGTCGATTCGATATCGATTCTCAAAAGCCACGAATCGATCTTTTCCGGTATTTATTTCAGCGCACATTTAAAACAAGATCTGATTAACGTGAATCTTATCATTAGTCTTCTCCACTAGATGTCACCCTTATTTACCTTGCGCGATGTTACAACAGAAAGCCTGTCATTCATTCAGCGCTTATCATGGCCATACGCGCAATTCACAATGCTCAGGTGAAATGCTGTAGTAATACTATAAATCTGCGGAAGCATTTGATATTTGATCTTGCTGCTCCTACAATCAATCAATTCCTCACCCAGTATTTCTTGCACCAGCCTGTGAGCAGCAAAGTGGAGAGCTTATCAATGGTGAGAACCTTTCCTGCAGTTCAGTTGCATTGTGTGGTGGTTCCGTGTTATCACATGAAACTGTTGTAACTTTTTTTTTTTTTTTTTTTTTTTTTTTACATAAGTGTTTGTTTACCACAAAGTATATTTTGATCATCCCGTTAAAGATAATATTTAAATTGGATAATTTTTAGAGCTTAAAAATGCTGTAAATATTTGTGTGAAATACTTGAAAGTCACTGAAAAGTGCTTGAATTTCTCTCTCAAAAGGTTGTACAAACCCTGAAATCAATAATGTAAAAACATTCGACTCTTTCTGCTACAACACCGTAGTTAACGTTACTACTTCTGGTTTTCTGACATACGTCAGCGCTGTTTGATCTGTTTGTAAAAGAGAATTCTGTGCAGAATTCAAACTCTTCTCACTGGATCTCGCAGCGCTGTGCAGTAAGAGTGTCGTGAGATCAACACTGGTTCCTGAGTAAACCTGTTCTGAGCTCGGACCAGTTTGCTAGCTCGCGCTGTGTTCGATCATTGGTCCGAGCTGATAAACAGTCCGGGCTGCGCAGCTCAAACGAGTAGTTTGATGTCTCTCATATGCAACAGAAATGGCAGCGCTTATGAGATGGGCAACGAAAATTTTGTTAAAAAAATGGTTGCATTCTGGAGCCCTGAATTCAAAATATTAATAAATACTATAATAGTATAAGTAATACTAAAATAACACTGCTGACCAGTAGGGCTGGGCAAAAAAATTGATTTTCCAATTAATCGTTTTTTTAAATGACGTCGATTCGATATCGATTCTCAAAAGCCACGAATCGATCTTCTGATTTTCCTTCATGGTTGACGTGTACCTTGAGCCTTTGACTTTAGACCTGTTTGTAATTAGATCTTTTCACACATCCTCAACACCCGCCTTTCTAGAACAAGCAGAAAAATTGGAATTATTGGTTGTTGAAATGCATTTGCAAATATAATCTGCTGATATACACTTGTCTAACAGGATCTGAACAGGACCGGGAATGACACGTACAGCTTCGAACCTCTTCACCCTGTTGTCTACGCCACCGCCATCATCCTGGTGCTCTGCCTGCTGTCAGTCATAGTCAGTTATATCTACCACCACGAGTAAGTGCTGAAATTGTCTTTCTGCATGCAAGGACGATGAAAAATGCCGTTTATTTTTAAAGGGATAGTTCAACGAAAAATGAAAATGTGATGCTAATTTACTCACTCTCAGGCATTCCAAGACGTAGTGACTTTTATTTCTTTACAGGGTGTCCGCGGGTCCTTAAAAAGTTTTCAAATGTCTTAAATAACGTTTTCCTAAGTTCATGTCTGTAGAAACCCTGCTTTAGTAGAACAGTAGAGAAGATTTTTAGCTGGAACACTGGTCTTTGGTGATTCATAAAATGCAAGGCAATGGCTACCGGCACTTTGAGAGTCAAAAAAAAAAGCATATCAGAGAGCACACTACAGTTCACCAAATCAGACTGAACCATCAACAGTTCGCAGCTCGAGCAGCACAGATCTACAAGTTACTCAATCAAAACTCACTTTAGGCAGGCACCTGATAGTCGAAATGAGCCAATTTACTGGCGTATCTGACCCTCTGATGCTGGTTTTTCCCAACAGTTACTCCTGAACTGCTGAGGGTTTCATAAAGGGAGCGAAATGTATGTTTCTGATTTATTTGCATTAGCATTTCACATCATTTTTGGGTGCTTTAATAATATAATTGCTTATGCCTGATATCATTGCAAGATTATGTAAATGAACTGGAGAATTGGTTATTTGAACAAGTTCATTCAAAAAAAAAAAAAAAACAGTTTGTAGAAAACAATCAGACTTCCCTATTGGATTACGGATGTTGTAAATAATGTTTAGTTTCTTACACAGACTGTTCACTTCTCTTCATAAGACCTCAGTAGTCAAGTCACCTTTATTTATACAGCGCTTTATACAATACAGATTGTGTCAAAGCAGCTGCACAGTGTCAAACAGGAAAAAATATGTGCTGATAATGCAAGAGGACAATAGAAATTGTGTGTATATGCTTTTTTGACTCTCAAAATGACGGTAGCCATTGACTTGCATTTTACGAATCACCAAGGACCACGGTTTCAGCTCAAAATCTTCTTTACTGTTCTACTGAAGAAAAATGGATGACCTGAGGGTTAGCAAATTTAACAGCGAATTTTCATTTTCGGGTAAACTATCCCTTTAAGCTGTAAATATGCTGGTTTTAATGAGGTATTTCCTGTGTTCGCAGGTCGGTGCGTGTGAGTAAGAAGTGCTGGCACATGCTGGTTAACCTGTGCTTGCATATTCTTCTCACCTGTGCTGTGTTTGTGGGTGGCATCAACCAAACGTACAATGCAAGCGTTTGTCAAGCGGTATGTGCCTGCTTTTCTATGTATATATGGAGTTTGGGTGACAATATTTACATAAAATTGTCTCTAAATGTTTCTCGGTTTATAGGCAGAACTGCAGTACTGCTTTCAAGTTCACATTACTCGTTTGAGAGTATCAGCATTGTCATTGGCTTTGAGGAGAACTCTTATGTTTTCTAATGTCATGTCCTGAAGGTGGGAATAGTGCTGCATTACTCCACGCTGGCTACGGCCTTGTGGTCCGGCGTAACGGCACGCAACATCTACAACCAGGTGACGCGGAAGGCCAAACGCTACGAGGAGCTGGACGAGCCTCCGCCTCCACCCAGGCCTATGCTGAGGTAAAGGTCAAAGCAGTGAATGAGGAGGAGAAGTGTTAAAAAAGGCAGAAAAGTACACTCTTACAAAATGCTGGGTTAAATACAACCCAGTGCTAGGTAAAATAGGGACAAACCCAGCAACTGGGTTGTTTTGACCCAGCGGTTGGATTACTACCCAGAATGTTGGGTTAAACATTTAACCCAACCGCTGGGTCAAAACAGCCCAATTGCTGGGTTACTTTGTCCCTATTTTACCCAGCACTGGGTTGTATTTAACCCAGCATTTTTTAGAGTGTACTATGTAATAATAATAATAAATTAAATAAATGAATACAAATAAATAAGAAATAATATAATAAATAAATATAAATGATTAATAATCATTTTAAAAAGCAAGCACACATGCTGTGACCTATTTTAGGGTACAGAGAGTTTAGAAATGTCATTTTACACTTAAACTGCCCAAAAGGCAAGACTGTGGGTTTTAAATTAAGTTCCCCTGCTGACCACTTGGTGTCAGTAAATATTCAACAGAAATTGTCCATGGGTTGAATGAAAATTCTGTAATTTACTCACCCTCATGTCATTCCAAAACCAGATGTTTTTTTCTTCTGTGGAACGCAAAAGAAGATTTTAGTTTTTTTGAAAAATGTTGGTAACCAAACAGTTTTAGTGACAATTGATGTCCATTCATTTTTTTGAGACATTTCACAAAATATCATCTTTTCTGGTCAAAAGAAAGAAATGAATACTGGCTTGGAACGACATAAGGATGAGTGAATTATGACTCTGTGAATTAATATTTTATATATATATATACTATTATAGTAACCAGTGTCATACTAACTAAGGATGCAGAAACACTAGTATTTACAGGATAATCACATGAATTATCAGTTGACCTCATTTCTATAGTATGTATTAATATTTATATTAGCTTTTATTTTTATACTTATAAGTTTTTATTTTAATTTTAGTTTAAATGTTAGTAATTTTATGATTTTGTCCTTTTATTTTTTTATATTTCTATTTAGCTTATATTTCAGGTGTAGTAATTTTAGTACTTAAAATGATTTTTAGTTTAATTTAAGTTTTTCATCTAATATTTATATTTTATTTTATTTAAGCTTTATGTCAATTCTATTTTTAATAGCTCTAGTTACCAGTAACAACACTGATGATGACAGAAATCTGGAATACGCTATTTAAATTTTGCCCAAATTGTTTGCTACAATTTGCAGTCTGAATATATCTAGTTGCTGAAAGTCAGATTTTACAGTAAATCGTATAGTTTATGATAGTCACAGACTCCAAATTGTTTGATATTTTTAGCTGATTATGGAACACATTATTGTAATTTGGCGCAGTTTCTTTCTGTAAATCATCTTTCTGTAGTCAGCCTTAATGCTCTAACATGAGGATATGTAATACCTAACTTATTAAATTTAAATTGTTTTTTTCTTCTACAGATTCTACTTAATAGGTGGAGGCATACCGATCATTGTGTGTGGAATAACAGCTGCTGCTAACATCAAAAACTATGGTAGTCAAGTCAATGCTCCTTAGTAAGTATTTGAGTTTTATGACGCTTTTTAAACTATCCTTCGCAATAAAATTCAAGCTAGGGGACTTTACGATATATTGATTGTAATTGAGTTTTGTGTAATCATTTAGACTTTAGTGTGTGGATCCATTTAAGCCATGTGAGACAAAATGCAATGGTATAATATGTTTCCTTAACTTCGTTGCTATTAACGACAGACTGCAGAGATCCAGCCTGTATCTGCCTCAAAGCACTTTTCAAATCCCCCTGTGAACACTCCCTGTCATTTCATAGTCTTTCTCTGTCATGAGAAATTGCTTTTGCTGTCACTGGAGCCTAATGCCCATGTATTGTAAAGTGCAGAATAATGCTTTATAAAGGAGAGAGTAGTTTAGACCTTCTGAAGCTGTGTGAACCTAATTATGGTGCTCTATTTTTGGCTCCCCACCTTGTGTGTGTTGGTTTCCCATGCTCCCTTCTTTCACTTGTGACAGCTGTTTGGATTGTGTAACAGCGTGGTTTAATTTGAAAATCCAGACCATCTGAGATCTTTGGGGTTTAATTAATCTCACACTACCATGACAAAAGAAAAAACCGCTCTGCTGAGCATCACAGAACTCAGAAGTGCCTCATAAGTGTTTTACCTCTCTGATAATATGAAGCCCTTGATACCACTAGTGCAAACTTAAGAACTTGTATATACTTAATGTAAAAGCTACTTTTTGGAGAAAAGTGAGTGACAACTGCGGTGATTTATAACGGGATGGGAGTTTTCTAGCGCTGTTCTATGTGTATTTTATGCACAGTTTAAATTTAATTTCGGTTTTTCATGCTGCCAAATAGGACAATACGACGTTGATTTACTGAAGTGTAAAACGGCAATAAAGTAATTATCTTAAAGTACATGACGACATATCAGCACAACATCAGTATTTAAATGTAAATTCTATTAATCAAAACAAAAAAAGAGAAAGATCTTATGTAGTTATTGTAATTTTGTAAATACTTTCATTTTATTTTATTATTATTAATGCAATTTTTATTGCAATCAGTATAATCTTTGATGCTATGACAAAAATAGTAATTTTTTTATTGTCATTAATATAATCTTGTTGATATGACAAAAAAAATAATTAATCAACATTAATAATAATCACTATTATAATGTCCTGGGAAATAATCGACCATTATGATTTTTGTCATAATTAAGCAGCCCCAGCTAAATGTATTTATGATTGTTTATTGTGAACGCTTTTTTTTTTTTTTTAATTAACAGTTTATTGAAGGAATACAGTTTTTGAGTGTTAGACAGCAATATAAGCATTAAAGTGTATATAGAATATTTCTGGCAGATTATTATTATTATTATTATTGCCATATATATATAGCATTTTCTGATATGGCAATTAAAATAATTAATCAACATTAATAATCACCTTAATACTTTATTTTAATGCATCCTTGTTACACTACAGGTATTTGATATAGTTATATATAGTAAATAATGCATAAATACAAGCAACTAATACTAAACCAAACCCCAAACCTATAGTAAGCACATATTGTTAATTAATATTACTTATTGTGATAGTGTAAATTACATTGTAAGTATTGGCAAATTAAAATAAAGTGACAATCACAATAATTACATAAAGTAACAATTACATTATGGGAAATAATCAACCATTAATTTTTGTTGAATGTATGTATTTATGAATGCATAATTTGAAGGCATTTTAGTTGTTGTGTCGCGATGTAACACAAGCAGCAACAGATATTTTCTGTCATATTGTGTAAAATGGATTATCCAAAAAAATAAAAAATAAAGTAGGGTGGGACTTGGTTCTATTCATCGGTTGTTGATTGGATGGAGGCAGATATGAATGCAGGCTTGCAGTTTTTGTAAGAAAGGGGGTTAAAATGGACTAAATTATTGGAGAAGTCCAGCATATATCACCAGAGAGAAGTCTGTCATTTCACTGGAAGATCCAGTTATGATATTTTGATTAACGATAACAAAGTCAACAAAATTGTTGTAACACATACACAGATTAATTGCTCACTTAAGAACAATAACATTTCGAAAATAAATGGGGTGAAGTCTTTAAAAAACACCTGTTGTCTTTCCTCAGCTGCTGGATGGCATGGGAACCCAGTCTTGGTGCGTTTTACGGCCCGGCAGCCTTCATCGTTTTCGTGGACTGCATGTACTTCCTCAGCATTCTCATTCAGCTCCGCCGGCACCCCGAGCGCCGCTTCGAGCTCAAGGAACAGTCTGAGGAGCAGCAGCACCTTTCTGTGGCCGAAGCGACCGAAATCACACCGGCCCTCCTGGAGTCCTCGTCTGCAGCCGCCGATCAACCAGTCCCGATGTCGGCTCTGGAGAACGAACATACTTTTGTGGCCCAACTCATTGGCGTGGCAGGGTCTCTTGTGCTTTATGTCGCTCTGTGGGTGTTTGGTGCTCTTGCGGTGTCCCAAGAGCATCCGGCAGATTTGGTGTTTGCCTGCCTCTTCGGCACCGCCGCTTTGGCTCTCGGGGCGTTTCTTGTGGCGCACCACTGCGTGAACCGTCAGGACATGCGGCGTCATTGGTCACGAGCTTGTTGCCTGGTTCGCCGTAACTACGCCGTAGAGGTCGATTCCCTGCTGTTGCCTGTCGCCGGTGGCTCCGTCTTGACAGCAAGGGGAAACGGCGAAACTGCGAAGTGTCCAGCCAGCAGCGCCGAATCCTCGTGCACTAATAAGAGCGCGCCGAGTGTCTGTAACTCCACTCAAGGCTGTAAACTGACCAATCTGCAAGTGGAAGCCGCTCAATGCAAAGCGGCCCCTTCTACGGCCAATGGGACGGCGTTATTGGACAACAGCTTGACTGAACATTCAGTCGACAATGAGATTAAGATGCACGTCGCACCTGTTGAGGTCCAATACCGCCCCAATTCGGTCAACAATAACAATCTTCCGGGAACGGGCAATGCGAACATCAACGGCCAATCAGGGCGACACCACAAGAACCGTTCAAGAATGCATCGGGCCAGTAGGCTCACGGTTTTGCGTGAGTATTCATACGACGTTCCCACCAGCGTGGAGGGCAGCGTGCAAAGCGTCCCGCACAAGCGCCACCATCATCACGAGAGCCTGCAGGCCCGTAACAGTCGACGGGCGGCGTATTTGGCTTACCGGGAGCGCCAGCAGAGCCAACTTCAGCAGGACAGCAGCGACGCCAGCACCAGTGTGCCGCGTCGCCCGCGCCACCTCCCCAAAGGTGGAGGCATCCGCCTGGGTAACAGTTTTGGGCACGGGCTCAGCAACAACGTGGGGAACGGCGTCGGTAATGAAGGCTTAGTCGGAGGAGGGGACGGATCGGGGACCGACGCCACCAGCCAAACTAGAGACTGTCCAAAACAGCCCCTCGCTGTTGAACTGGAGGTGCAGCCCAAGTCTTACGGGTTGAACCTAGCGTGCCAAAACGGACCTGCCAAAGACGCAGAGAGGCTACAGAATTTGTCGCCCCTGAACGTGGAGAGTTCTGGGAATATCAAGACTGGCTTGTGGAAGCATGAAACTGCTGTGTAGCGAGATTCCCTTCTCAGAGACTACAAATCCGAATAAATATGAATATTAGGATTGATGATTAATAATCGTTTCAATGACATGATGATATTTTTATCTTAATTTATTAAAAAATGCATTAAAATAAATAAAATGCATTTTAAAAGTAACAAATGCATTATCCTAATTTATTAAAATGCAAAAAATAAAATAAAATAAATAAAAACTGCATTGAAATTCTTGAAAGGAAATGTTTAAATAGTTTGGCATAATTGTTTCCTAGGAAGAAAAAAGAATCGGTCAAAAAAAATTTAATAAAAATCAGGGTGATACAATTTTCTTGATATCGTAATAATAAAAATGAAATTTTTGAAAGGAAACTTTTAAATAGTTTGGCATAATTAATTCTTAGGAAAAAAAGAATCAGTCAAAAAAAAAAAAATCATGTAATTTATTTAAACTTTTCCAGTAAGTATTCTCAGAATTAACATTTCATGTACTATGACTCCTCAAAAAAAAAAATTCATTTATTTAATTCATTTATTTTAAATGTTTAAAATCTTGCATTTTTCAAGGTGTAAGAAAAATGTTGTAACTTTTTACTTGGTGACGCCACTATTTTCAATTTCAAAACCGTAGTACATCAATGCAAGTGCACTAATCAGTTACTACAGTGGAATGTGTGTATATGTAGTTGCACAAGATGTTTCAGTGCAAGAGATGCATATAAAGATAAAATTATTTACATAAATGAAAAGGAGATTCTTTTTGGGATCAGTTTGTTCCACTGACCTTGTTTTACCACATGGAGCTGTTGATTCTTCCTTGATGTCCAGTGAGTTTGTCCAGATGGATTCATGGGTGACATGCCACCTTCATGTCCCAGAAATCCACTTCCACGGTAATGCAACGGACAGTAATCCTGAAAGATGTTCTAAAGTGTGTGTTCTATCAGTTAAGCCCATGTACTCTAACTTCTTTGTGAAGGTCATGCAGGAGCAATTCATTCAAATATTATTGAACGTATCCATTAACGTCATCTGACTTAATGATGAACAAGAGACAAGATGTTCTTCATTTTCAGCTCACTAATGAGATATTAAAAGCATATTTCGCACAGACAGAGATATATTGCCAGACCCTCCTGAATGTGACAATGAGAAAAGGCTTTGAATTATGTATGGAGCATTTATGATCCAACAAAACTACAATATGCCAACCTGTGTGTGTTCAATTGTAGTCTTTCTCTCCTGTCCCATGTGCCCTTTAATAAATCAGTGCTTCAAGTCTTAATCTTTTGACACTAAACTTAGATGTAGAAAGATCTAATATCAAAAGTTTTAAAGATTCAACTGAAAAAAAAGTATTTTCAGTGTTTTTGAAAGAGGTCTCTTATGCTCATCAAAGCTGCATTTATTTGTACAGTAAAAACTGTAATATTGTGAAATATTATTACAATGAAAAATTACTGTTTTCTATTTTAATGTACCTTAAAATATCATTTATTCCTGTGATGCAATGCTTAATTTTCATCAGCCGTTATTCCAGTCTTCAGTGTCACATGATCATTAAGGAATCATTCTAGAATGCTGATTTATCATCAATGTTGGAATCAGTTGTGCTGCTTAATTTATTTATTTATTTCAGAATTCTTTGTTGAATAGAAAGTTAAAAAGAACATTTAATAAAAAATGTAAAAAATATTTTGTAACTGTACACTACCATTAACAAAGTATGTTTTTTTTTTTAAGAAAATAATTTATTCATTCTGCAAAGATATGTTAAATTGATAAAAATGTGATAGTACAGACTTATACCGTTACAAAATATTTCTATTTTGAATAAATGCTGTTCTTTTGAACTTTTTGTTCATCAAATAATCCTGAAAAAAAATATATATATAACTCACTAGATTTGCATATCGGAATAAGTCAGAGTAGCTTTGAATTATTTAGATTTTTGGCAAATGTGCTTTAAAAGCATCTGGCAGTGTGTTTAAGGCTCGCCTCAAAGAAGAAGATTGATATCTTCCATGCTTTCCCATCTGTGCCTGATGGTATTACCTTGACTAAAGCATAGGAATGAACATACAGTTACCTACATCTGACTAATTAGACGTGATGTCAGTAGCAGCAGACATGTAATCAGATATCATATATCAAACCCTCCTCCTCCTTAATGCGTGTGAGTACTGTACTCGAGTCATATTTGCTGTGATAATGTGATGCTCTTTAAAGGGGTCATATGACGTTGCTAAAAAGAACATTATTTTGTGTATTTGGTGTAATGAAATGTGTTTATGTGGTTTAAGGTAAAAAAAAACATTATTTTCCACATACTGTACATTATTGTTTCTCCGTGTCCTCTTTTGGAAGACCAAACAAAGTAGTTTCACAACGAAACACACAGCGTCTTCACAACATGGCGGCGGCGGCGGCGGCGTCGGCAACAATACTACAGCGAGAATCAAAGTTATGCCTTCTTTCTTTGCGTGAACATTTGGGCGGCGTTATGCAAATCTTCCCACATCGTGACGTAGACATGTGGGGGCATGTTTAAACGAGGCGTTTTAGGAAGGCGTGGCTGACTCTTAACTTTTATAAAGAATATCTCTTTGGGTTTGAGACTTTAGTCTTTGCAACTTTAGGGATCTTATCTATTCACGAACAGCTTGTAACACTCCAAAGAGAAAGGAAAACTTGAAATCGCATCTTATGACCCCTTTAAGAGCGTCTGATGACAAGCAGACCCATTTGTACTTGCTGTTATAATTCTTTAATGCACCATGATGATTTGAGACTTGCAGAAGCAGGATGCTGATCTGGAGGCGGATTGTGGAACAGGATCATGGATCTGATATGGGAAATTAATGGATATGAAATTAATAAATGATGAGGATAAATTACGCCATGTTCTTTCATCCAGCAACAACGTGCCGCAAGACAGGCCAGGGGTCAAAGACAATAATTCTGGAAACCTGACACCATTATGATGGAGGTCTTGTTCCCAAAACACAGGATGGGATTGTGATCACAGGTGTACAGATCTGGAATTAGGTCACCACTTGTTTAGTTGATGTAGTACTCATTATACTTGTTATTTTTGTGTGCGATGTTGGAAATGATGTTCACTTTCTTGCGCAAACCAATCATTTCACATTATTAGACCTCAATATAACATCAGGGATATCGACGGCGATTCCTTTTGTGTTGCCCGTATATGCTTTTTTGACACTTAAAGTGCCGGTAGCCATTGACTTGCATTTTAAGAATCCCCATGTATAAAGTAAAACATCTGCTATTTACATCTTTATTTGGGTGTTTTAATAATTTAATTGTGTATACGTGACAATTACATGATTATGTAAATGAACTCGTGTTATTTGAACCAGTTAATTGAAACAAACTGTCCAAAAGAATCAGTTTGTAGAAAATAATCAGACTTCTCCATTTGTCTGAGCTTCTGGATTACAGGTAATAATGTTGTAAATAATGTTCAGTTTCTTGCACAGACCGATTATTTCACATCAGTAGACCGCAATATATAATAAGGAGCCACAGATATTCATTTTGTGTTGCTTCTATATGCTTTTTTGACTTTTAAAGTGACGGTACCCATTGACTTGCATTTTAAGAATCCCCATGCATAAAGTAAAACATGTGCCTTTCATATCTTTATTGAACATATGTTTTAATAATTTAACTGCATATATGTGACATCATTGTGTGATTACGTTAATCAGTTATTTGAACCAGTTCATTGAAACGAACGGTCCAAAAGAACCAGTTCGCGGAAAATAATCAGACTTCTCCATTTGTCTGAGCTTCTGGATTACAGGTAATAATGTTGTAAATAATGTTCAGTTTCTTGCACAGACCGATTGTTTCACTGCAGTAGTCTTCAATATATCGTCAGGAGCCACGGATATTAATTTTGTCTTGTCTGTATATGCTTTTTTCACTCTCAAAGTGACGGTACCCATTGACTTGCATTTATGAATCACCAAGAACCACGGTTTCAGCTCAAAATCTTCTTTACTGTTCTACTGAAGAAAGAAAAAAAGTCACCTACATCTTGAATGGCCTGAGGGTGAGTAAATTAACAGCAAATTGTCATTTTTAGGAGGACTACCCTTTTAACATAGAGCCTGGGGTTAGAGAGATGCTTTAGTGTCAACTATTGTTATATATTAATATTAGCAAGCCAGCGCCTGATGTGATCAGACAGCAGCTGTCAGGCTGCAACATAACACTGCTCAATGAGAAAACATTGCAACCTTACAAATATGTCGTGGGAAATAAACAAACAAGAGCAGAAGGTAAAGTCGAACTTTGTCTCAGATTTTAGATCCATCAAGTCTGACAGAAGACATTACAGCAGACCAGAGACTCTAGATGGGTTCGGTGTCCAACTGCACAGATGGCTATTTTGGCGAAGGTTGGACTAGTTTCCCTGTCAGCCTACTATTATTTTTGAAATTAATGTCATAATTAATCAGTCAACCACTGACATGAAAACAAAAGTGAATAGCTTATGCTTTCTTTCGGGGGCTTTTGCTTCTTTATTGACGGATAGACGGAGACGATTGGGCTGAAAGGAGTAATGGGATCAAGACACGTTACACAGATTCAAACTTGCGCTGCATATGAGCTCAATGGCTCAATGTGTCAGAAGCATATATACTAGAATCTGCATAAGTAGTGTACGTTGCAAATGATGCAAAAAAAATATATATTTTTTTTTTTGGTCTTCCATCCCTTGCTCAAACTTACGGCATTGGTTGACTAGTGTTAGTATCATTGATATATTATTATAGATATTATTAATATTATTATTATTTTTTTTTTTTTGCTGTATGTTTTGTGTCATTTTTATTAGTTTTGTTTATATGTATGTATATATGTAAATATAATATCTGTATTTAATTTTTTTTTTTTTTCAGTTTTAGTTTGTTTGAGTTACTTTAGTGCTTCAAATTTAACTAAACATAAATTGGTGTTTCCTTGGAAACTGGCTTAAATAAATTAATGTTAGTTCATGTTTATTTTAT